GACATAGTGCGGGGCGGAGGAGAAAGTCTCCCCAGTGCTTTGCCCTCTTGCAGTGCCCGGAGGGCGGCACCTAACCACAGAACCTCACAGGGAACCCTGGCAGCACCCCAGCTCCCACATGGACCCTCCCATCTTCAAAAACTTCGAGAAGGGATTGTCAGGCCTTCTTCACTTTTATTCTTTCCAGAAAATCACTTAAGAATGCATAAAACAAACAACGCAGACTTGCAAAGCAAAGAAGTTGTGAATTGTGGTTTCCAGGAAAATCCCACTGCAGTTTAGAAATATGTGTTTCCTTGTTGGTGTCATTTCCAAACAGGGGTAGTGTAGACAGTATGCCGAGACAGATCCAGAAGTAACTGTCTGAACGGATGTGAGCGGGTGTCCAGTATCTGATAGCTGCAACCCAATATTTGTGACAGAGCTGGAGGCACATGCCTAAAATCCCAGGCTGAAGTGAGACAGTCATTTGAGTCCCAGAGCTTGAGGTCAGCATAGTAAAAGTCGTCTTGGAGAATGACAATGGGGAGCGGGGGAGACAGCTCAGGGGTGAAGCAATGACTTTGTGAGCATGAGGTAGAGTCCCAGTGTCTGAGTTTTTAAAAAGAGTGCAGTTGGCACATGCCTGTGATCCCGGCCATGCGGCACTGGACAAAGGAGGGTTCCTGAGTCTTGGTGCTGGCCAGCCTACCCTAGTCAGTGAGATCCAGGTTTGGTGAGAAACGCTGTCTCAAAAAATAAGGTGGAGAGCATTTGGGGCAAACATCCAGTGTCACACACAAACACGCACACGCGCACACGTGCATGGACACGTGCACACAAAAACTAACAACAGACAGATGAGCCTCAGCTTCATAACCCTGTTTTTAAATTGAAACACCTCTAAGTTAAAGCAGACAGCTTTGCCTCGCCTCCCTCAGGCAAGCCCAGAACACGTCATTCGTCTACGTAGGCAAATTCATCCAACACAAAGCCTACATTTCTGTTGTTGGGTTTTGAGTTATTTTATATTTATGTGTTTGTTTACTCATTGTGGGTTGGCACATGTGTGTCAGGTTTGTATGGAGGTCAGAGGACACCTTGTGGGTTCTAGGTTTTGAACTCAGGCCGCCAAGCTTGACGGCAAGCATCTTTAGCCCCCCGGCACATCCTTCAGGTCCTGTTCTTTTGTTTGGTTGGTTTTGGCTTTTGCCTTGAGCAAAGGTCTCACATAGCCCAGGCTGGCCTGGAACTCAAGGCTGAGGATGTAGCCTTGAAATCATGACCCTTCCGTCTGCCTTTCAAGCGCTAGGCTGGCACACATGCACCACGCTACTGACACACAGCCTACTTCCCGACAAAGTGTTAAATATCTCTTTCTATTCATTCATTGAACACTGAATCCAAAGTGCAAGACAGACTGGTCATACATTGAGAACAAGATACGGAACGCTGTGGTAAGGTGTGTTGGTATGGTAAGGTGTGGTGAAGGATGGTAAGCTGGGTGGTAAGGAATGGCAAGGTATGGCAAAATATGTTAAGTTGTGGTAAAGTACAGCAAACTGTGGTAATGGATGGAAAGGTGTGATAAAGTGTGGTAAGGAAAATGGTTTCTGGCGAATGAATGCTTGTCAGTTTGAACATGATGATGTAGGTAGACTCACAGTGGCACATCTGCGAGCCAGGACAGTCTGTGCTGCCTTCGCTGGCTATGCTTATGACCTTCACTAGATGTGCCTAAAGAGATAGCGTAGTTCTTCTATCTGAGTTCATGGTCCCAGGATTCCTTGTCCCAGCTGAGCACCCACAGTCCAGGAAGAACATGTGAGGAAGAGTCACTATGCTTTGGCAGACGGCTAGGAAGGTGGAACGGGGACACAGGGCTGAAGCCACTGGGATCCAGCTGGCTAGATGTGGCTCTGAGACACACCGGAGGGGCTGGGCTTAGCTACTAAGCGGTGAACGTGGGAGCGGCGTGTAAACTCTCCAGGCTATAAGCTCTCCGGTAAGAGCTTACCTACCAAGACGGTGGGATAATGGGGTCTCAAAAACCAAACACCTCTACTGGGTGTGGCGGCAAGAGAGTGGCATGAACCAGTTTGCCTCAGCCTCCCAAATGCTGGCATGAGCCACCAGTGCTGAGGAAGTGCAGACGGGAAGATCCCTGGGGCTCCCTGGGAAGCCAGAGAGAAAAATCTGGCCTTACACACACACACACACACACACACACACACACACACACACACACAGACATACACACGTGTCCTAACTCAGCCACTCCCACCTTCACACAAACACACATACATTTACAAATACACACATTCACGAACACACAATTATAAATAAATAAAGCAACGCCCCTTGATGAATCTGGGCCTCAGGACGAGGCAGGCCCTGGTGAGGTGGTTGTTTGGCTTCAGAACTCCGGTTCTCTACCTCTGCAGTCACAGGGAGCCGGAGTCCCTTGCAAAGGGGAAGAATTGAGCAGAGGCGGAAAGCAAACTGCGCGGCTCAGGAGCCAGATGGCCCGGTTTGTCTACTTACCCTTTGTGTGACTTTGATATGTTGACCTAATCAATCTGCACCTTTCTCTTTTCACCTGTGAACTGTGGACACAAGTTGGGGCCTCAAGGAACAGCTGACTGTAACTGAAAAGCACTCAGAATCCGCAAGTCACAGGGCCTGGCAGCGACACAGCTTGGCATGTTCTGCAAAGCTGCTTTCTGGAATCAACAGACCTCCGGCCTCCTTCTGTCTCTGACCATACAGTTCTAGGGTTAGGGGCACAAGGGTCCAGAGGGAATGACCTGCCCTTAGTCCTAGGGGTGGGTAAGCAGTTGTCTGTCCAACCAGGGCAAGTACAGAGGAGCAAGAAAAAACAAAAAACTGGCATCAGCAGGAACCAGCTAGTGGAGGAAGGAGGTGAATCTTTGGCCAAGGGTCATAGGGGCCTTACCCATGAGGTGATGAGTTCAGGCCCAGCACTAGAAGGGGTAGAGGTTGAGTGTGTTCAATCAGTTCCTGGCATCACTAAATAAATGAGAGCTTGCCCAGAGACAGCCAAGAGACTACGGAGCAGAGCGCCTCCCTATCTGTTTCCAAGGGTGTGTTCTCTGGAGTCCTTGGCCTTATGCAATCCTGCCACTCAGCCAGAGTGCCTGTCCTAACTTGGACCACTCCCTAGCTCCCCTGAGACCTTGAGCAAGCCACTTGTTCTCAAGGCACATCTATAAAGTGAGACCAGCACACCCACCTTAATGGTGCTTATGTTTTTAACACAGAAGTCCTAAAAGTTGTTCAGTAACAGCTTCCTCTTCCCTGGGGCCTCTCCTCCCCACTCTCCAAGAAACTCTATCCCAGCATCAGAGTTCAAGGCTGCTGGGGGCTAAGGGTGAGCCTAACCCTCCATGAGTGAGTGGTGTAAGGAGAAAGCAAAAACCTGGATGGATAAGAGTCCCAGCCCACAGTCTACAAAACCCCTAGCCTGCTGTTCCTTTCTCAGCAAGCAGGCTGGGCAGGTGTCCATGCCCAGAGGCCTCCCTCTGGCTAATCATTCCCTGGCCCTGGGAGGCCCTGCCAAGGAGGCTAGACCCCTGACGCCTTGGGCCCATGTCTGGCCTCCGACTATTCTAGGCTTAAAGGTCAGGATCTATGGTCATGAAGAAGAAAAGAGGATTTCCAGTACCCAAAGTCCATGCCTCAGAGTTGCCCCAAATTCCTTGCTTAATTCGAGGAATGAAGAAGCCCTTACATAGTCTGTAAAAGTGAACCGTGCGGTGGTTTGTGTGCTGAGTGGCCCACGCAGGAGTCAGAACTCCCAGGGAGTCCTTTCATCAGACAAGATTAGCTTCAAAACTAAGGCCCATAGATCCTGGGCTCCAAGGATCCAGATGCTGCCAAGCTGACTCTGTTCTGGGATAGAGCTCAGTGGAGAAGCCTTGCCCAGCATGCACAAGGCCCCAAGTTCAAGCCCCATCCCAGAACCACTAAAGAAACACACAGGAGGTCAGCATGGGCCATGCCTTCCTCTGGCAATCCTCCTCTCAGCTAAGTCTGCGGGGCCCCTGGAGTCTTCTTGAGATTGATGGGGCCTGTTACAAAGTTACAGCAGGTGTGATGCTGCACAACCTTCATCTCAGCCCTCGGGAGGCAGAGGCAGGAGATCTCTGTGAGTTCGAGGCCAGCCTGGTCTACAAAGGAAGTCCAGGACAGCCATGCTACACAGAGAAACCCTGTTTCAAACAAACAAACAAACAAACAATTGGCCCCAAGGCAAGGCAAGAGGGGAACACCTTATTTTGTTTGGGACATGGTTTCACTGGTGGCACGTACCTTTAATCCCAGCATTTAAAAAGTGGAGGCAGGGGGCTGAAGAGATGGCTCAGAGGTTAAGAGCACTGGTTGATTTTCCAGAGGTCCTGAGTTCAATTCCCAGAAACCACATGTTGACTCATAACCATCTATAATGAGATCTGGTGCCCTTTTCTGGTGTGCAGGTGTACATGCAGGCAGAACACTGTATACATAATAAACAAATAAATAAATAAATAAATATTTTTGAAGAAGCAGAGACAGGCAGATCTCTCTGAGTTTAAGGCCAACCTTGTCCATATAGTGAACTTCAGACCAACCAGGGCTCTGTTTCAATAAATAAATAAATAAATAAATAAATAAATAAAAAACTTGAGATAGTGTTTCATGCATAGTCCAGGCTGTCCTTGCTATATAGCCAAAGATGACTTTAACCTCCTGAACAGCCTGCCTCTACCTCCTGAGTGCTAGGCTTACTGACTACTTGTCGATTGGGAACATACAAGGCACCTCATGCTAGGAACACTCTACAACTGAGCCATATCCCTAGCTCTTCTCTGTTCATTTCCATTTTGAGACGGGACCTTGGACTTGGATCAAGCATTCACAGGCTCTCTTAACCCTGGTACTAATGGCCTGGTTTCTCTTGAGGGCAAAAAGGATTGTAGCTGCGCCTTCCAACCACTCTGCTTTTCTCCTCTTGCCCACAGGAAGCCTATTGCGCTTATTCCATCATCCTGATGGCTCTGCTGTGGTGTACTGAGGCCCTGCCCCTGGCTGTCACTGCCATGTTCCCCATCATCCTCTTCCCCTTGATGGGTATCATGGACGCTTCTGAGGTGAGCATCCCCATCAGCAGGAGGAAAGACTACAGGGAAAAAGGGAGGGAGAGGAGAGAACCAAGAAAGCTTCATCACAAGGCCATGGAAGAAGGCAGAGGGCATGGGAGAGGGTTATCTGGGAGGCAGAGTCTCCTAGACACATGTGTGGCTGCTGTGAGAGTCCATTCACAGCAGGAGGGACGAGCCTTGCCAGAGAGGTGCGAGGCCTGCAACAAGAGGAGGGCGAACAGACAGCCAACTAAAGAACTCACCCAACAGCTGGTCCTGGTAGCACATTATTGTAAGCCTGGCTCCGAGAGCCTGGGACAGAGGGATTTTAAGTTCAAGACCAAACTGGGCTATGTAGATAGATTCTGTCAAAAACAAAGAGGTCAACTGTCATCTCTCTGGGTATCCACAGAACCAAAGTTTATTCTAAGATACCCTTTGGACTCCAGGATCCTAGGATGCTCTATTTTCTTACATAAGATGTATCATGTTTTTAATAGAGCCTTATACATCCTCCTTGTGATAGCAATATTAGTAAACAGTTGCTGTAATGGTACTGTTTAAAAAATAAGGCTGAGAGATGGCTCTGCCAATAAAGGCACTTGCTGCCAAGTCTAACACACTGAGTTCAGTCCCTGGGATCCACATAGTGGAAGAAGAGACTGACCCTGCAAATTGTCTTCTGACCTCCACATGTGAGCCATGGTACATGTACACACACACACACACACACACACACACACACACACAGACACACACACAGAGAGAGAGATACATGCAAAACTTTAAAGAAAATGCTGATGTAGAGAAAGTCTGTACACTTCAGTGTAGATGTAATTTCTGCCTGAGAAAATTCTACACAAGGTTGCCTCACCCATGAATGCAGGTACCACATACAAAAATCCGACAGAGGGCTGGCTGCATACTCCTTTAAAAAGATGCATGTATTTGATGTGAGTATTTTGTCTGCACGCATGTGTGTGCACCACATGTGTGCCTGGTACCTTCGGAGATCGGAAGCGGGGATTCAGCCCTCTGGAGCCGGGGTTAAAGTGTCTCCACGTGGACCCTGAGAACCGAACCCGGGCCCTCTGGAAGAGCAGCCGGTGCTCTTCACTGTTGAGCCATCTCTCCAGCTACTAATATGTTTCTTGAATTTGAATTGCACCAGGACTTGCTGGACTGAGGAGCAAACAGAGAGATGGGCCTACCCCTGAGCTGACTCAGATCTAAAGGAGTTTTCAACTCCATCTCATCCTTCTCTTTCTCTTCTTCCTCCTCTTCCCACACTCCTCTCCTTCCTCCTCTCATTCACTTCTTTTCCTCTTCCTCCCTCCTTATCTTCTTCCTTCTCTCTTCCTCTTCCTTTGTTTTAACACAGGGTCTTGCTGTGTAACCCAGGCTGGCCTAGAATTCACAACTTTCCTGCTCCTGGGGTTTCTGCAGAGCTACCAGGCCTGGCCGAATGTTTTGTTTGTAAAAGTCACAGGTGATGTTGATGATGCTGGCCCCCTAAGGACCACACATACCTTCTAGAAAGAGCAGGGAATTAATTACCTCCCAGTTCTCGGCTTGAGCTCCAGCCTCCCAGTCTTTGAGAGGAGAAAAACAGTGAGTTAGGCAGGAACCGGGAACCTGGCTCCTGTAGATGGTTGGCTGCCCAAAGGCCTTTCCACTTGTTTCTGAGGTCCCAATGGAAAACCAATTTGTGAGGATGTCATGACCGTTCCCCATAAGCTCGATGGTATCAGGAGGAGACCCCAAAGGTCTCAGACACACCCCTGCTCCCCAGGTCTGCATAGAGTACTTCAAGGACACCAACATACTGTTTGTCGGGGGGCTGATGGTAGCCATCGCTGTGGAACACTGGAACCTACACAAACGCATCGCCCTCCGAGTACTCCTTATCATCGGAGTGCGACCTGCTCTGTGAGTCCCTGCTGGCAGGGTGGGAGAAACGTACAGGCGTCCCACATCTGGAAGAAAGCTGGAGTGGCAGTGTGTCTCTCTGTTTGCCTCTAGGCTGCTTCTGGGCTTCATGTTGGTCACAGCCTTCCTCTCCATGTGGATCAGCAACACAGCCACCACAGCCATGATGTTGCCCATTGGGCATGCGGTCCTGGAGCAGCTGAGGGGCTCACAGAAGGATGTCGAGGAAGGCTGTGAAAACCCCGCCTTTGAGCTCCAGGAGACAAGCTCCCAGAAGGAGGTGACCAAGCTTGGTAAGAGACATGAAACCGACCCTGCCCCTAGCCCCTCAGTGCTTGGGAAAGATCCGACATGGCTGCTATTTCCAATGGTAGTCATCTTGAAGCCCATGGGGTGGGGGGAGAGAGGAGAGAGAGAGAGAGAGAGAGAGAGAGAGAGAGAGAGAGACGGAGGGGAAGAGAGAGAAAGAGAGGAGCAGCCAAGCTGTCCAGGTCTTCCTGAGGTTTTCCCAGATGTGGTGAGATAACTCAGGAGGTAAAGGTGCCTGCATGCAAGCCTAAAGACCTGAGTTCAATCCCCAGGACCCATATGATGGAAGGAGAGAACTGACCCCTGCAAGTTGTCCTCTGACTTGGCAGAGGCAAGGTGCTATAGCATGTATGTGTGTGCATGTGCAGGCATGTGTAATAGTTTATTGGTTTTGTTTCAGAAAGTATTAAATGCCAAGATCCATAGACTAAGGATGTAGATCAATGATAAGGCACTTGCCTAGCATATGTGAGGCCCTGGATTCCATCCTCAGCACCATAAAATAATAGTAATAACAACAACAACAATTATAAACACCAACAACAAAGCTAATCTTGGCATGCTAGGATCCTCAGTCCTAGACACCCAAGAGTTTGGTAAGAAGTGAGCAGAGAACAGGAAATGTTCTGGAGAACAGGAAATGTTCTCTGGGCTTCATTCCTCCTGCTTGGTCTAGGTAACCCTCTTCAATTCTCCGTGCCTCAGTTTCTCAAGACATGTTGAGCTGGGTTGTGCCTGAGAAGCCCAAAGCTACAAAGAATGCTGGAATCTGGAGACAGTCTCTGCCCCATTGTCAGCTCAAATCTAGGTGGCTCGCTGACACAGGGCCCTGGAGGCCTCGGGACCCAGCCAAGATTCCTGCAGCTGTTCTTGTCCCTGTCCCCACATGCCTTTCCTTGTCCACAGATAATGGACAGGCTGTGTCTGCTTCTTCAGAGCAAAGAGCACAGAAGACCCAGGAGAGGCACCGCTTTAGCCAGGGCCTGAGCCTCTGCATCTGCTATTCGGCCAGCATCGGGGGCATTGCCACCCTGACGGGCACCACACCCAACCTGGTGCTCCAAGGCCAGGTCAACTCGTGAGTGCCGAAGCGGGGGGGGGGGGGGGACATGATGAACTCTCACAGGAGGGCAAATGGGTCCAGGCGGTCAAGGGACAGTGTCACACAACAGCCCATGTCCCCTTCATCAGGATCTTCCCTGAAAATGGCAACGTGGTGAACTTTGCTTCCTGGTTTGGTTTTGCCTTCCCCACCATGATCATCTTGCTGTTGCTGGCTTGGCTATGGCTACAGGTCCTCTTCCTGGGTTTCAAGTAAGTGGAGCCTTAGGTAAGAGAAGCCCAATTTTCTGCCTGCACCTGGGAGGAGCCTCTGTCTCATCCGAACACGCTGGGGACCATGCTACAGGAAGCCTTCTTCCTCTTTAGGTCCTTGGCCTGCCGCTTAGCAGATGGGCAAGATGAATCTGAAGGAGTAGTGAACTCTGGGATTGAAAATCATGTCTTGTGTGTGTGAGCGTGTGTGTGTTCATGTGTATGCATGTTTATGGACAGGTGCATATGCTTGTGTTTGTATGAGTGTATGTGAAGGCCAGAGGCTGACATTAGGTGTTCTCCTCAGCCATTTTCCACCTTATTTTTTTGAGACAGGGTCTCTCAATGAACCTAGAGGTCATCCAGGTTACACTGGCTAGCCAATGAGCCCCAGGGAGCCTTTGTCTCTGCACCCCTAGAGCCATTTTTTTTTTAAGTATATGTGCTTGGAACTGAACCCAGATCTCGATGCTTACATGGCAAACATCTTACTGACCAAACCATCTCTTGAGCCCTGAAAACCAAGTCTTTCAAGATCAGGCACCTTCCCATAATGCTCCATGGTCCTTGGATAAGCACTTGGGGATTCCGCACAGAGCACGGTTTGTTATAGAGGCACCTGAGGTGATCCTTCTGTTTGCCTATCCATGTACTGGACCCTGGGACTCCTAGACCTTAGGCGAAATCCTTATCCTTGCCAATCACGAAACTTCGTGTGTCACACAGAGGTAGGACCTTGTCCTTGAGGCCAGGATGAGGAGGTGAATTTCACCCTACATGCAACCCTGAGTTACTCCTCATTACAGTTTGAGATGTATGATGAGAAGTATTAGGTAGCTGGATGTGATGGTATACCTGTATGCCTGGGGAGCTGAGGCAGGAGGATCATGAGTTCAAGGCCACCCTGGGGTTACACACCAAGACCCTGTCTTAAAAACCTAAAATAAAAAGTAAAAATTTAAAAAAATGAAAAAAAAAAAAAAAGGAAAATAGTCAAATGCCCTGATAAGGCTCAGTTGAACTTAAGCCTGTAATCGATTAGTGATGTCTACTGGGTACACAGATCAATGATGGTCTGCGTGTTACTGGGGTGTGAGTCATCATTATTCATTCATCCTTTCCAGGCAGAGGCAGCAAGTTATCAAGCTGTACTTTGAATGAATCACTTGGGAAGGTCCAAAGAGGCTAGATTAAGGTTGGGAGCCGGTTCAAGGCAAGGCAGTAGTTGATAAGGTCAGCACAGTGCTGGATGCTGTGAGGGGTGAAAGATGTGTGAAACGAGGTCTTTGCCCTGAGAAACTCACAGACCAGCAAGAGATAAGATTTACCCAAGTGTAAAGCTAAATGCTCCCATGGGGTAAACAACACAAGGAGGCGGCCAGAGCCTTCTAAAGGCTGAGGCTGGCAAGGGCACCCAGGGGTAGGTAGGATGAAAAGGGGAGCTCAGAATCAGGACCTGAAGCCCCTCAGGGTCTGGGCTGCTCATTTTTCACACCCTGGGCAGGATGAGCTCAGAGCAAGGGACCCTTCAGAGGAAGGGTGACAGTGGGGAAGATGAGGAAAATGTAGCTTTCTTGTTGAAGGAAAGCCACCATCCCAAGTTATAGGTACACACCTATAACTCCAGCACTCAGGAGGCTGAGGCAGGAGGATCAAGAGATGAAGAACAGCTTAGGCTAAAAACAAAACAAAAGGGTGAGAAATGTAAGCTAGTGAGAGGAGAGCTTACACAGCATGCATGAAACCCTGGGTTCCTCATGATCCGAGCACTATAACGCAAGCCTGGCATCCAAGGTCAGCATGGGCTGTGAGAGCCTGTCTGGGGTCGGGGAGCCATGCCATGATGCCCTCTGGGTCTTGGGCTCTTTTCTGTTGGCATTACTTTTTAAACTCTTTATTTGGGGTTCCTTAAGCCTCTACTCCCTTCCAAGGCCTCAACCCTAGGTAGGAAAGAAAGAAGGTTAAAAGAGAAAGGGGACAAAGACCTCTTTAGACTTAGTTCCTGCTGGTCAGGGTCATCAGGTTCTTGGGAAAAATACCAATCTCAGTCATCAGGATATCCAGCAGAACCAGCAGCCTTCTTCTTTCTCCATCTGTCTCCTTGAAGCCCCCCACCCCACCCCCAAGCATTCCTCAAAGCGTCCTTTTTCTCCTCTCTGTGCTCTGGTATTTATAACCTGCATACTTAAACTAACTGTAGCTGGCAAAGACCACACCCCTCTCCCAGCTGCACGAGGCTGTTATCAGCTTCGGACAAACAAACAAACAAAAGAAGTATTTCCATATCCCACACCTGGGATTAAAACAAAAACCTTTTTACTTCACTTAACTGAGTTTGTAAAGAAACCAAAACTTCCCCTCCACTTTTCTAGAGTAAGGACATTAGGGCTTGCCCATGCCTGGTGCAGGCCATTCAAACTTTGTCTTTCCGCAGCTTCCGGAAGAACTTTGGCTTTGGGCAAGGGGAAGAGGAACAGAAGCAGGCAGCCTTCCAGGTCATCAAGACCCAGCACAAGCTGCTGGGCCCCATGAGCTTTGCCGAGAAGACGGTCACTGTACTCTTTGTTGTGTTAGTGGTGCTCTGGTTCACCAGAGAGCCGGGCTTTTTCCCGGGTTGGGGAGACACGGCTTTCGCCAACGAAAACGGGCAAAGGTGAGACCTGCCGGAGCAGAAGGGGAGAATGCCTGGGATTCTGCACTGGAAAGCAGGGAAGGGAGGGCAGAGAAGGAAAGGACACGATGTCTCCCCTGGGGATGCTCACCACAGCGTGCTGATGGGCAGGACCCTTCTCTGTCCCCTGCTCAGCCTCTCCCCCACCCCCCTACAGCATGGCATCCGATGGAACCGTGGCCATCTTCATCAGCCTGGTTATGTTTGTCATGCCCTCCGATATTCCAGGACTGACCCAGGACCCAAGTAAGCACCTGGCCTGGGGCTGGGGAGGGGGCTCCGGTAGCCCCTGCCTGCAGGCGTATACCCTTCTACTTCATCTGGCAGGAGCCAGCAAAGCCAAGAGAGGTTGGGGTGACCTGCCAAGGACACGGGGACTCAGGGACAGAGTTGGAACGCTACAGGGATGGGAGACTGGGGGAGACTCCTACCTGCCTTTAAACTCAAATAGGAACCCACTTAGGAAGGCCCCAAGTGGAGGGGAGGGAAGGCCTATTGACTTTTGGTGACCATCCTTGTCTGCTTGGGGAGTAGAAAAACCAGGGAAGCTGAAGGCTCCTCCTGCCATCCTCACCTGGAAGACAGTGAACGATAAGATGCCCTGGAATATCGTGATCTTGCTGGGTGGGGGCTTTGCCCTGGCCAAAGGCAGTGAGGTGAGAGCCTGTCTGAGGGAGACCCTGGGATAGCCCCATACTAGCCTTATGTGCTTTCCCCTTCTGGGTTCTTGAAGCCCAAAGGAGAGTAGGCCTCTCTCAGCGATGAGCCCCACCCGAGCACCAGCCACGTATTCCGGAAGCCAACACGAAGCCTGAGCACCCACAAGGCTCACAGCGGCTTGATGCAGTGTCAGACGAGGCCTCCAGGGGGCGCCAGATAACAGTCTTCCAGGGACTGGAGTGTCTTTCTCTTTTATCCTCCATCTAAAAAAAGTGGAAATTCAGGATACCGCCTTCCTGGACCTCCAGATCCTGGCAGAGCTGAGCCAAGGGTTGATGTAGGAGATTCCTGGGTCTGCGGTTAGTGTAGCGATAGTCTATGCCAGGCACTTTGCTCTGTGTGGAGGAGTCAGGAGCTCAGTGCCTGGCATACAATGGACAGGGCCGGAGCGGGAGCTCTTCCTATTCTGGAAATTGCCCACTTTTCCAATCAGCTCTTCAAGGCCCTGATTCCCCTCTCAGTCAGGAGCATGGTCTCTTCGGCCCTATCGCTCAACAGGGAGAGGGCTCAGGCAATCCAGGGGCACCAGGGAGTCAAGAAAGGAAGGTGATCACACCCAAATAGCCAGGTTTTCCACCAGGTCCTCCCCACCTCATCCCACTGGTCCTAAGGAGCAGCAGGGAGCCCCCTTGGTCCCAGCCAGGTACTGACTTCCTTCAGAGCTGTTTGACTTGGAGGCCGCCGAGGTGTGGGCAGGGACAGGGCCTCCCAGAGTTCCCGCTGAGGACCCAGGCAGTTTTGCCTCCTATACGCTGCCTCCTCTGCCTTCAGAGATCAGGTCTGTCTGAGTGGCTCGGAGACAAGCTGACCCCGCTGCAGCACGTGCCGCCAGCAGCCACCGTGGTCATCCTCTGTCTGTTGGTCGCCATCTTCACCGAATGCACCAGTAATGTGGCCACCACTACGCTCTTCCTGCCCATCCTGGCCTCCATGGTGAGCTGACACTGCAGCTTCCTCCAGGCAGCCCTCCTGCCTGCTCTCTACCCGCCACTGGCCAGAGTGGCTGCTCTAAACTCCGCACCTGCATGGAGAGAAACTTAGGTTTCCTTCTTCTCCAGGTGTTGAACTCTTAGGTCCCAAGGCCTTCTGGCCCCTGAGTCACCTGTCTCAGGTGACATCACTCTCTGAGCATCCCAGTGGGGCTGGCTGGAGGCCTCACCCACCTCCCCACCCAGTCCCCTGTTCTGGTCATTCCAGAAGTGATGGGGGTAAAATTGCTCCCTGGAGCGTCCCCAGCCCCTTCCTCCTCAGGCGTGTCCCCACAGCCTTTGATGACACCTCCTGAGCCCCTTTGAGATCAGTTTTATGAGCCCCTCCCCTCACTACACCTCACAGGGCAGCACAGCACACTCATCTCTGAGAGGTCAAGGGCCCTCTCCAGGTCACCCACAGCACTCTGCCCAGGGACTGGGTTCATGGCCAGAGGGGGGAGGGGCAAGGCAGGCCCTCAAAGGGTAGAAGCGGAAGAACTGGGAAGAACCAGGGTCTGGCCTTCCCGCTGAGCCTGGGCTGGGGTCAGCTGTGTCCACTCCCGTCCTCCAGGCCCAGGCCATCTGCCTTCACCCTCTCTATGCCATGCTCCCCTGCACCCTGGCTGCCTCCCTGGCTTTCATGCTCCCGGTGGCCACACCACCCAACGCCATTGTCTTCTCCTTTGGAGGCCTCAAAGTGACCGATATGGTGAGTGGCAGGGAGGTGGGAATGACTCAGCCCTCCTCCTACCCGAGGGACACTGAGGTTCCCTAGTGGGGGCGGGGAAGCAGGAGCTCTGACATCTTTATGCTCTACAGTCTCTGAGCACAAATAAAGGGAGGGGACATTCGGAAAGTCCATGGGGGGGACCTAAGAGAAAACAAGGCCCCAAACCTCAAGAATGTATGAGGGACCCCTGTTAGGATGGGCAGTCAAATAAGAGGCAGAGGCAGTGCCTAACCCTGCAGGTTAGACTGAAGGCAGGACTTCCCAAGGAGGGCTTTGCTGATGGGAAGGGTCCCGAGCACACCTGAGAGCTCAAGAGTGTACCTCTGATTCACATTGCCTTGCCTCGCCCTAGGCCCGTGCCGGATTCCTGCTCAACATCATCGGGGTGCTGGCTATCACCTTATCCATCAACAGCTGGAGTGTCCCCATCTTCAGCCTGAACACATTCCCTCCCTGGGCCCACTCCAACACAAGCCAGTGCCTTCTCAGCCCGCCCACTTCCACCGTACCAGCCCCTTAGACCAGGCTACAACCTAGTTCTGCGGGGGAAAGCCCACGGGTGCCACTCCTCAGGGCCAGGAGAGGGCGCCCCAGACGCCAAGCCCCGAGCCAGAGGAGCAGTCTGCCGGCGCATGTGCAATCGTGTATTCGTGTGTCTGCATAAGTCCTGTGTGTGTTATCTCTCTTGGGTGCCGATGAGTGTCCGTGTGCTGTGCGGGGACGCGCGCGTGTATGGTGTGGCCTGAGGGCGCCTCAGTGGTTGTGTGCGTGGTGACGGCTCCCGCCCTCTGTCTCCCAGCTAGGCCTCCGGACTTCTTTGCACTGTATTTATTGAAACTCCGGGCTGGAGGCGCTTGGGAGCGGGAACTCCAAGGTTCATTAAAGGCTGTTTCAGTAGAGTCCGGGTGTGTTTCCCCGGTGCTCAGAAGCAGAGGTCGGGCACCCCTGCCAGGCCGTTTGGAGTGGGCGCAGCCACCTAGCAAAGTTGCAGTGACTTCACCAGCGGCTAATTGGGAGCTGCCAGTCCCTGCGTGCCTTTGGGAAAACCGGCCTCCCCGTTCCCAGAGCACTCCCTGGACATTTACATAAAACCCTCTGCCCCCTGCCAATTCCTCGCCGACCCTTTCTCCGGCTGGAAAAACCGGTCCCACCAGACCAGAGGAGACAGGCTGACCCATGCTGAGTGCTCGGAAAGATGGACCCTCATCCAAAATGGCAGCCCTCAGGAAGCGAGATGAGGGTTAGACAATTAACAGGCTCAAACCTGCCATCGCCTTCAGAGTCCAAAGCCAGAAAGTATGCAGCGATCTGCCTCCTTCCTTACCTCACTCCACACTTGTGTAGACCCGGATACTCGAGTATCTGGCAAGGGGGTGGGGAGATGGACGACACCACATCACCTTACCTCTCCTTGGCTGGAAATCCATCTCTATGTCTGCCCCAACTCTCAGTGCGGATGGTGCCGTGTAAGCCTGGGCTTCCTTTGGAGAGTTTCCTAGAACTTACCTGGCTCTCTTCTGCAGCAGAGAGAGGAAAAAGAGATCTGTGAAAAGAAGGACCAGCTATGAAGGCAGAAAGTATTTTGCTCTTGTCTCCTAGCTGGGATTTGCTGTCCTTACAGAGCTGTGTATCCCAGGGGAGAGCAGCCAGGAGGCTGTCTCCAGGGGCCATGGATCCTGACAGGACATGCCAGGCATCCAGGGGGAGTGAGGTGTGTCAGGAGAGTGGCTCTGCCCCCACGATGCCCCCCCCCATGACATTCCTTACACATGAAGTACAGCCCATAAACCACGTGAAGGCCCCCAAAGCCTCCGGGGACAGTCCCCCACAATGCAGTGGGCTCCCAGGAGGACCTTCTCTGCTACTACGGGCACCAGCGTTGCGGAAGGCTTCACTGGGCCCAAACAACCGCCTGTTCACTTATTTCCTGCGTGTAGCCTGAGCTGTTCTGGAACTCCCTATGTAGACTAAGCTGGCCTTGAGCTCATTGTAATCCTCCTGCCTCAGCCTTTTGAGTGCCACCAAATCAACTCTATATCTTGTTAGCCCTGCTCAGAGGGGCAGGTGCAGGCTGAGGTCACACTGTCCTGGGGCTATCGGGCTGGCTTACTAGCCCCGTCTTTTTTAGGGCAGATGGACACCAGCCAGGCTAGAGCCAGAGCTGGGCCATGCAGGTGCTCAGACCCTGCCCTCCTCAGCAAGCTGGGTTGAGGAGGGCCGGGCAGCAGGCAGCACTAGTTGGCCCTAATCACCATCATTAACTGGGTAATAAAGCACATGGACCGGGCTGGCCTTGGAGGGAAAGGCCAGTCCGCCTGGGTCAGGGCCAGAACAGTAGCCTGGTCACTCCAGGCTGCAGCAGGTAGATCAGGCCTGCTAGCCTAGGACCACCCTGCTGGGCATGCATACCCCATCACTGCTGCGTTCAGGGAGAGTATAGCAGGAGGTTTAGGCTGTCTCCTGGCAGCTGAAACTCAAGGCGTGAGCTCCCTAATCCTCTGGAAAATCAAGAGACGGGGACACATCACGATGGCCTGCCAAATGGAGCCTTGCCCTTAGTTTCTGGTACAGGGAATGTCATACAAAGCCATGAATGTGCCAGGAGCGCAGAAGTGCCTTCTTCCCCTGGAGGCCAGCAGGACACACTGTCCTCAGAGCCCCTTTCCAAGTTCTCTTGTGGGCCACTCTTTGTGACTGAGGTAGCGTCTCCATCTCTCTGGCCTAACCTCACTTTAGTCTCAGCAAATAGGCCCACATTTCCAAGCCAACTTTAGATGTCTCCCCTTTCCTGTGCCCTGAAACCCTGGGTAGGGGAAGTCCCCATTCCCTACCTCTCCCCCTGCCAGCTAGCAAGAGTCTGCATGGGCAGCCATAGCGGCCAGGCCACGGAGGCAGCAGCTCCCAAGCCTGTCAGGGACGCCTGCAAGTCAGGGAAAGAGTTTGTTAGGTAGGTAGAACCAGGCCAAGTCTAGGGTTCAAGATCAGCCCCTGCAATCAGACCTCTTTGGGGGCCTCTTTCTCCCCGCTTCTGAGGAAGGCAGGGGCTGGCAGAGGATGGAGAGGGCTTGGTCCCTCTCCCGCAGGGAAGATGCCTACAGGGGTAGGCTCGAGCCTTCTCTGGCTGGAAGCTGGAGGCCCAGGAGGACTCAGCCTCAACCTGCAACACAGGTGTGCTGTGAAGGAACAAGGGGAGAGGGAGCAAGACTGTGACAAGAGTGGGTGGCCCCTGTGCTCAGAGCCCTGGAAGGACCCTGCAGAGCACTCCCCCACATCCCTGCGAGCCGGCTCTCCCAGCCCCCTCACACACACACAGCCACAGACACCCGCAGTCACAGACATCTGCACACCGGTGCTGCTCAGACCCATGCGCCCTTACAAGTGTGCAGAGGCTCGCACAGGGCTCTGGCCAGCCACACGCCGCCGTAGCTCCGTGCCCCACCGTAGCCTTGGACAAGCCTGAGGAGAGAAAGGGAGCACCTGAGTATTCTGCAACAGAAAAACTCACTGCTCTTAGAGACGCTTCTCACCCACTCTGATCCCCGTGGGGAGGGGTTAAGACCTGAGCACAGCAGCCATCCAAGGCTTGGAGGACTCTGCCCCATCCTCCCCCACAGACCTTCCCCCAGCAAGCTTGGAAACTCCCTGCACTTCCCAAGGGTCAGCCAACCAGAACAGGGGCGGCCCTCTCTGGCCGGCTCCCCGGAGGCTCTGGTCTAGCTGCCCCACAAGTATACCCACCCTGTGACCAGATCCCTCAACCAGTCTCTGCCGTGCGGCCTGGCCTACAGCATTTCATGCTAGGGTAGTCTGCGGGAGGCATCGTGCTGGCGCCTGAAGCCAGGGCCTCACGGACGCTGAGAGTCCCGGGACCCCTCTGCAAACCTTCCTCAGGGGAGTGTGTGGAAGGGCAGGCTCAATCTTAGGAACTCACTTTGGAAAGCAGGGCCCAGTCTACAGAAGCAGAGTTGGACAGGCATGTCAAGCATGGCGAACTGTGCCTGTTGGAATTGCTGGGCAGGGGGACTGCTATTAATTCAAGGCTGGTCTGGTCTACACAGAGAGTTACAGGCCAACCAGGGCCACAGAGTGACACTGTCTAAAATGAAAGAGAGAGAGAGACAGAGTAGGAGATTGGGGTGGGTAAAAAGAAGGCTCAGTCAGTAAAGTGCTCACCACACAAGCAGAAGGACCTGAGTTCGAGCCTCAGAATCCACAGAAAAACCTGAGTGCAGCAGCTTGAACCCAGGAATAGGTGGATTTCTGGAGCTTCCCAGCCAGTCACCGCTGCCAAATCAGCTCTAGATTCAGAAAGAAACTGTCCCAGAAAATGAGGCGAGGAGAGAGCGAGGAAGACATCATACATTGACCTTTGGCCTCCATTCATGAGCCCAAACACCCCCACACAAACACAAGCATACAGCCCCCCACCCCAACCCTTCGCACATGCATGCGTAACTTGACAGACGATGGCCCATTCTGATGGCCCTGCCTACTCCATGACACAGGGGCTCCAAGCATGGAAACCTCTCCTTCTGCTTGGGCCCCACAGACTGGCATCCGACAGACCCTGCTCCAGGGATTTCCACACCTGGCTAGCGCTGGGCAGAGCCTAGCAGGCAGGTAGCAGTTTTAACCCCTCAGCTTCTCAGGCCTCTTCAAACACTAGCTGTGGCTGACCAACGCCAGCCCAGCTCTGTCCACAGAAGGGTGGGTATGCTTTCTGAGTCAACACTGCAGATGCTAGAATCCAGGTGAGTATCAGAATAGGGCTTCTGGTCCTAGGAGAGACGCCGAGGGCCTGGTTTAATGAGAGGAGTGAACAGTCTGTCACCAGGAGGAAGACCTCACCTGGCTTCTTGAGCCGAGCTCTGCCAGGATTCTCAACGCCTCCATCTACCAGGCTTCAGTGATGAAGAAGGAGCTTTCCGAAGGAAGGGTGAGCAGAGGCAGACTCCTTTCTCCAGAGGAAGGGGCTTGACACACCCAACAGAAGAATATTGACAGGTGGTGCACACCTGGAAATCCCACCTCTTGGGAAACTGAGGCAGAGTATTGTAGGTTTGAGGACTGCACAGTGAGTCCCAGCACAATCGGGGCTACATATGGAGACCTTGTCTTTAAAAGACAAAACAAACAAATAAACAAGAGAAGCGGAATTGGAGCCAGAGAGACGGCTCAGAGGCTCTTGTCACCAAGCCTGAAAACCTGAGTTTGATCCTGGGACCTGTATAGTGGAAGGAGAGCCTGACTCCCATTAAGTTGTCTTCTGACCTTCACACGGACACATAGGCATGCACCTATGTGTACACACACACACACAAACACACACACACATAAATGTAGTTTTAAAGTCTTGAAAGGAAAAAGGAATCTCACTGAAGGAGCGCCACAGTCTCCTGAGAGTCCACAGCCTCCTGAGAGTCCTTGACTGTTGAAGTTACATTTCTTCCATTTTTAATAAAGTTGAAAACCTTTCATTTGTGCTTTGACCATTAACAGTTTTTTTGGTTGTTGTTGTTGTTGTGCTTTTGTTTTGTGAATTTACATTTATTGTCCTTTATTCTTTTTTTTCCTAAGAGAGGGATGGCCTTTAGTTTATCTGAAAGAGTTCTTTATGTAGTATGGATACTGGCCCTTCATATGTTGCAACAATTTCTTCTAGATGTTACCTTTGTCTTTTAACTTTGTTTATATTATATTTTGCTCTAAATAAAGTTTGAATTTTTACTCAGTGAAGTTTGTCAATATAGTCCTGTATGGCTCCCTGATTTGATGGCATGCTTCAAAGTGTCTTCACTACTTTATAATTTTCCCATTTGTTTGTTTGATCACTTTACAGTCAGATCGAAGCCCCCTCCCTCCTGTCTTCCCAGTCCTGCCCTCACATCTTTCTCTCCCCTCTCCCCCTCCCCTTCTCTGAGTACTAACCCACTGGCCCCCCTGGGTACCAACCCATCCTGGCACATCAAGTTGAAGCAGAACTAAGGACATCTTTCACACTGCGGCCAGACAAGGCAGCTCAGCCAGGGCAAAGAAATCCAAAGGCAGGCAACAGAGTTAGAGATAGCCTCTGCTTCCATTGTTAGGGGAACCCTCGCAATGACCAAGCTACACATTTGCTACATATATGTAGGAGGCCTGGGTCGAGCCCATGAATGTTTTTTTTTTTGTTTTTTTGTTTGTTTGTTTGTTTGTTTGATAGTTCAGTCTCTGTGAGACCCACGGGACTACTTCATAATTCAATAAAATATTTTCTATGCTTCTCTGTTGATTTGTGAGGTTTTCCACTGTTTAGTCTATTATGGGTTTGGGAAGTATGCAATTGATCTGTTCATTCTATTTGAATCTTACTCTGCAGCCCAGGCTGACCAGGAACTCACTATGTTATTCAGTCTGGCCTTGAACTCATGACAATCTTCCTGCCTCAAACTCCCAAGTGCTAGGATTCCATGTTTGAGCCACCGCATCCATTGTCCATCGCTGTTTTGCTTTGTTCTGCTTTCTTGAGGCAGGAGCTCGCACAACCATAAGCTCTCAACATTCCTGCCTCCACATCCCATCACTGTTAACCCAAAATCTGGCCTTCTTTCCTATTTCAAGTCTATTATCTCAACCTCATTCATTGGACTTTATGTGTTTCCCCTGCTTCTCTGTTAATTTGTTATCATATGCCCAGTTCTCAGAAATATTTGACTTTATCCCAGACCCTGTTCCATTAATTAATTCATTTAGTTTATTTTTTATTGAGGGGGTGGATTTTTTTTTTTTTTTTTTTTTGGTATCATTTCAGTTTATTTTACTTACGTGTTTATTCCAGGGGAGGGTGGGGTGGGTGTGTGTGCCATGGCACCCATGTGGAGCTCAGAAGACAACTATATGGGATCAGTTTTATCCATCTTGCTTTATGTGGGTTCTGGGGATCAAACTCGGACAGCAAGCACATGAGCCATCGCACCAGTCCAGTATTGGTTTGTTTGTTTGTTTGTTTGTTTGATTGTTTGTTTTTAACTTTTGAGACAAAGTCTTGCTGTGTAGCCCAGGAGAGCCTCCTAATGAAGCTCCTCCTGGGAGCTTCGATTCCGCACCTGCACCACCACGCCTGGCTCCAGCACTCACGGCTCTCACCTGTGTACCCTCCTTGGGAGTTCTGAAGATTGTTGAGGCCCATTTCAAAAGCTCTCTGGCATTTGCATGTCTTTAATCTTCCCCTACTTTAGACTCAGCTTGTCAAGTTCCAAGGGCCAAGAGAGTTGGGTTTTGAATTTGGTAGATGTTCTGCTTGGAGCCCACGTCTGTGCAGCATCATGTCCAGTTTCCTCACTCCATAACAGGACACGTTTTTACATTTCTGTAGGCCCCAGGTTTCTCTGTGTAACCCTGGCTGTCCTGGACTTGCTTTGTAGACCAGGCTGGCCTCAAACTCACAGAGATCCATCTGCCTCTGCCTCCCAGAGTGCTGGGATCAAAGGTGTGCGCCACCTCGCCCAGCTTGTAGGCCTTATGTTTATGTCAGCTGGTAAAATTGTTTCCCTCATGTGTATTCATGATTCCTGTTAAAATTATTCATGGGCATCCTGCAATGTCGCTACTGTGGAGACGGGCGTCTTCTGTGTCTGCTTTTGATTCCTAATATGAGGTGTGGCTACGTAGCCCAGGCCGGTTTTGAACTCAGTCCTCCAGTTCTCAGACTGAGAACTGTGTGCAGTACCACACATGGCTGCAGTTTCCAGTTGCATAAAAATGATTCTGGCACTTATCAAGACTTTTTTTGAGTTACCCAGTGAAATTCAGTCACCACCTCCAATAGTCTTTCCTCAGATTCTCTTTTCTTTTCTAATTTTTTCTTTTTGTTTTTTTCCTTTCTTTTCTTTCTTTCTTCCTTCCTTCCTTCCTTCCTTCCTTTCTTTCTTTCTTTCTTTCTTTCTTTCTTTCTTTCTTTCTTTTTTTTTTCTTTCTTTTTATTTTTTTAAGACAGGGCTTTTCTCTGTAGCCCTGGCTATCCTGGAACTCACTCCATAGATCAGGTTGGCGTTGAATTTACAGAGATCCACCTGCCTCTGCCTCCCAAGAGCTGGAAT